GAGAAGCCCTCTGGTACTTTTGGAGTGCGTCTCTGGACCGCTAGCCGACCCCTATCCAATGGGGCATGGGCCTCCACTTGGACTTACCCGATAACAGCTCACCAGAAGTGTCACCGCTCGTGCCCACCGAGGGTAGCCTGACATATTCCACCCCTCCTTCCGAACGAAAAGGATGCGCGAGGGTCGCACAAAAAGCTAGGGGAACTCCTGATCGCCCTCTTGCTCCGTGCAGAGACTCGAGGGCTCTTTCGGCAACCTTGCCAAGACCCAGCGACACAAGCTCGCACTCGAGGGCTTGGCAAACAACCCCTCCTTCCGAGTGAAAAGGATGCGTGAGGGTCACACAAAAGCCAAGGGAACTCCTGATCGCCCTCTCGCTCCATGCAGAGGCTCGGGGGCTCTTCCTGCGACCTTGCCGAGACCCAGCGACCCAGGCTCGCACGCGAGGGCTCGGCAAACAACCCCTCCTTCCAAACGAAAAGGATGCACGAGGGTCGCATAAAAAGCTAGGGGAACTCCTGATCGCCCTCTCGCTCTGTGCAGAGGCTCGGGGGCTCTTCCTGCGACCTTGCCGAGACCCAGCAACCTAGGCCCGCACGCGAGGGCTCAGCAAACAACCCCTCCTTTCGAACGAAAAGGATGCGTGAGGGTCGTATAATAAGCTAGGGGAACTCCTGACCGCCCTCTCACTCCGAGCAGAGGCTCGGGGGCTCTTCCTGCACCCAGAACGAAAACAAGCAACCCAAGCTCGCACTCGGAGGCTCGGAAAAATGCGATAAAAAGGGCACCGAGCCCGTTATGATCCAGGGGTCCGAAGGCTGGGCCCCCCAAAAGGTTTCGACAGCTGCCCCAGGATAATAGATTCAGGGACAACTATGGGCGAGCCTGTACATGGTCGAGGCCCGAGCAAGCGATCGCTCAGGACGCCCTAAGTTGTGTCCAAATGGGATCCCACCGTAGGGAGGCATCGAGCCCCCGGGGCCTATCGAACGGCCCTAGGACCCACTAGAGAAGCCCTCTGGTACTTTTGGAGTGCGTCTCTAGACCGCTAGCCGACCCCTATCGAATGGGGCACGGTCCTCCACTTGGACTTACCCGATAATAGCTCACCGGAGATGTCACTGCTCGCGCCCACCGAGGGTAGCTTGGCATGCTCCATCCCTCCTTCCAAGCGAAAAGGATGCGCGAGGGCCGCCAAAAAAGACGGGGGAACCACTGATCGCCCTCTCGTTCAGTACAGAGGCTCAGGGGCTCTTCCTGCAACTAAGCCAAGGTCTAGCGACCTGAATTCGCGCTCATGGGCCTAGCAAACGCGATAAAACTCCTTACTCAACAGAGAAAAAGCCCCTACAGGAGTAAATCCACTCCTCCAGGGCCTCGAGGGCTACACCCGGTGGGTGCGCTCGCGCGCACCCACCGGAACCACAAGTACAAAACACAATCACCGACGGGAGCCGCTTCAAATCTCGACAAAACCTCAGGGAGAATGCTCGCACTCTCCCCGAGGCTCGGGGGCTACTGTCGGATACCATAAAAAGGGGTACCCTAAGCAAAAACCGAAAAGATTGCTTAGACCTTGCAAATATCAATGCCAAAGGATGATCGCGGGGTCTCGGCTGATTCTCCGATTCGCCTGAGGCCCGCGCCGCAAAGGCCTCAGACGAAAGGCCGACTCTCCGCCTTGCCGAGGCCCTCTCGCCGAGGCCTCGCCCCGCTAGGCCTCGGACGGGTTACCGATTCTCCGATTCGCCCGAGTCTCCGCGCATAAAGCCTCGAACGAAATACCGATTCTCCGACTCGCTCAAGGCTGGCTCGGCAAACAACCTCGTCGCCTCCGTCTCGACCGACCTCTCTGACGAAACGTCACGCATCCAACCACTCCCGCAACATCAGCCGCACGTCGACGCAGTGCAGCAGAGCGGCCGACGGGATGGGAGACAGGACTGAGCAGGGGTTACCGACCATCGTGCTTCAAAGATCGCGCCCACGACCGGGCGCCAGATTACACTCAGTGCCACCTAATCCCTGCTCTAGGAACAGCGTGGCATGAGGAGTCAAGTTCGGTCATCAGAGCCTCTAATCGCAGTATAGGACCAATCGCTCCCATCAAGCCTCGGCAATCCACTTTAGGGTCTCGGCAGCCTCAGGATCCATGCCTACCGAGCCCCCCACGATAGCTCGGCCTCGGCACCAACCGAGCCTCGGCTTTTTTCACTATCAGCGCACAGCGGCCGGCACGACGTCGGCCATACCCTGCACCAAGCTGTCACTGGAGCTCCCACGTCGCACAAGATTAGGTGTGACCGGCGCGCTGCTCCAGTGCATCAAGGACAAGATCACTTTATTGACCATGCCGCCACAGTAGCAAGCTACAAGACTCAGACACGCCACCTCTGCTCACGAGACGCTGCATAGCAAACGCATGTATCGCCCCCGTCCCCCCTTCAACTATAAGAGGAGAGGCCGGGGCCGTTTCTAGAGGGGGACAAGAAAGTCAGACGAGCACTCGCATAGACTCACGTAGATTCAGACACACGCTCCCCCGCTGCCTGAGAGCAACATCTCAAGCAGCCCACACCACTCCACGTAGAGACCTAGGGCTAGTTCCCTCTCTCGCCCAGCTTGTAACCCCCTACTACAAGCACTTCGGTGCAAGAAATACAAGATCGATCTCTCAGACTGGACGTAGGGCACCGATTGCCTGAACCAGTATAAACCTTGTGTCTCTTTGCATCACCATCCGAGATTAGGGGCACGCAGTTCAAATTCACTAGTTGGTTGAGGACCCCCGGTCCGAAACACCGACACTATTGAAATAGGAATCACTTGGTAAAAATCGGTGAATCGTTTGGCTATTGATCCAGATTCTCCTTGAAATGAACTAGAATCACTGCGAAACACCTATTTGGTTGATTCTCATTCTAGTTCAAAACAGAGAAATATTTCTAGGTGTTTCACGGAGAATCATTTCACTAAAAAAGGTGTTTGGCAGGGATTTTGGTGATTCACCTGAGAATCCGAAACGTTTCTGTCATCCAAACGGGCCTAATATAAACCACACTGGTTGTGATGAAGCATAAGGCGCTTATGTTCTTCCTCCTAATGATCAAGACCATGTAGGCGCTAAACGACATGTCCCCGCCTTATGTTCTTCCTCCTAATGGCCTTTCTCAATGGCATAGACATTGAGAAAAAAGCATATAACGCAGCCAGAGTAAAATATAGCACAACAAATTTGAAGTAGGGCGTCCGTCATATGTAGCCCTACCAAGAGCTCCGTCAGCGAGTGATGTGGCAGATTAGTGCATATTAAAGCCCTGTTTAGTTTAAAAAATTTTCACCCCAAAGTATCACATCGAATCTTGCGGCACATGCATGGAGTATTAAATATAGATGAAAAAAACTGTAGCACTTTTATTGTCAGATCATGGATTAATTAGGCTTAAAAGAATCGTCTCGTAAAGTAGTCACACTCTGTACAATTAGTTATTTTTTTTAGTTTATATTTAATACTCCATATATGTGTCTAAACATTCGATGGAATATGATGTAAACTTTCAGAAAGAAATTAAACAAGACCACTGTAGTTGTGTGCTCTGACCATATCTTGTTCCAGATTACAATAGGCAGTAGTAGTCAGCTATCAGCAAAGTCAACACTCAGCACTGATACAAGGTCATTTCATTAGATTGTGTGATGTACTCGTCCACGAAAGAATCCTCCCACCATCCCAATAATAGTAAGGGCATGTTTAGATACAAAAAATTTTATAAAATAAGTATTGTAGTGTTTTCGTTGTTATTTGGTAAATAGTGTCCAATCATAGTCTAATTAGACTTAAAACATTCGTCTCGTGAATTTCGTCTAAACTGTGTAATTAGTTTTATTTTTTATTTATATTTAATACTTCATGATGTGACGGAGAATGTGAAAAATTTTACAAAATTTTTTTCAAACTAAACTGACCTAACGTTTTAGCGCTCAACACGTTAACCAAGGAGTAAGGAAAAAGACCTTTATACCCCTATATGTTCCACTAATACAGAGACGGGCTTTACTCCCGGTGGGGAACCACCTCTAGTCCCGGTTCCCCACCCGGGAGTAAGCATCCGGGACTAAAGGGTCCTTTAGTCCCGTCGAGCCGGGATTAGGGGGTCCTTTAGTCCCATGAGTAACACCAACCGGGACTAAAGGTCCTCCCACTTTAAAAAAATAATATCTCCCACCGTCAAGGCCGTCCGTGAGATTCAACCCAAGACCTCATGCATTGCCTCGCGTAGCTTTACCACCCCACCTACACAACACATCTCGACAATAGATGGGATGCTTCCTTTTGAACTAACCCATCGGGATTTTAGTTTAGTCCGGTTGGTGGCACCAACCGACTAAAAATCTCTTAATCCGGTTGGTGTTACCAACCGGACTAAAGGGTTCTATCTTTAGTCCCATTGGTAACACCAACCGGACTAAAGGTGAGGATTTTTAGTCCCGGTTGGTGGCTCCAACCGAGTAAAAGGTCCACCTTAATCCGGTTGGTGTCTCCAACCGAGATTAAAAGTCCCCTCGCCATCGCGTCGAAAATAGAAGAATTGTTATTGAGCGTGGACCTTTAATCCGGTTGGAGACACCAACCGGACTAAAAATCTCTCTCTATCCGGCAAGAAAAATACCGGACTTAAAGTTCCCCATTTAAAATTTCTAATGAAAGATCTGTTTTCTACTAGTGTTCTCTCTCCTCTCTTCTATCGATCCCAATCCATCCAGATCTAGATCCAGCGCGGGGCATCACTCGACGACATGGGAGTCACGTCCGCTCTCGCAGGTGGCCTCGCTTCGCGCAGGAGCCTCGCTTAGTGCTTGGCGCGGAAGCCTCTCCAAGCACCGACAGCCTCACCCGCCTTCGTCGGCAGCCTCACCAGTGGAGAAGAGGAGCCCGGTGGAGAAGGAGCGAGAGGGGGCCACTGGTGGATGAGAAGAGGAGGGAGTGCGCTGGATCTCGGATGAAGAGAAGAGGAGGGAGGGTGCCGGCCTCCTTGTCGATGCGCGGGCCGCATCCGCTCCGCCAACTCCCGCGCTCGGCATCTCCCAGCGCAACGGCATCTCTGGATGGGGCCGGGCCTGTCCTCTCCAGTGATGAAGAGGAGGGGCGTCAGTGGAGGAGAAGGGAAGGGGGCCGCGGGTGGAGGAGAGGGTCAGGGAGAGCGCTGGATCTCGGCAAAGGAAGCGACGATGGAGGCTGCCGGACTCCCGCCGGCAGAGGAGAAGATGAGAGGGCTGCCGGCGGCGATGGAGATGGGCAGCTGGGTGCTGGCCGTGGGGGTGGGGACGAGCGCGGTGGTGGGGGTGGACCGGTGGAGACTGGAGAGTGGAGACAGGCGCTGAGAAGTGGGAGGAAGGGGATGAGAGCGAGCCAGCGAAGGGAGCAAGGCACATGGGAGTGGCAGTGGCCAGTGGAATAGCCTGCAGGACCTATACTCGCCTAAAACGACCCTTTTTCTGGGACAAACGTTGAGTCGTAGAACGACTCTCTTTCTGGTACCGGGAGTACAGCTATAAGAAATATGTTGATCAAATTAACTCAAATTTGATTAAATTTATAGTAAATATTATTAATATTTATGTATCTAAATAAATTTATTATAAAAATATATATTCTATATATCAAATATATCTGTGTTTATTTTGTTTCATAAGTGTTGGAGGGAGTATTTAGAAAAAAAAACTCCATCAGTTTCTTTAGAGAACCTGTGCCTCCAGTTTTTTTTTTTCTTTTTACCAACAAGCATGAGAAAACCTCTATACAAAGGTCACGAGGGCTCTAAGACTGTCCACAGTGTGAGCGGTGCCGAAAACAATTTCAGTCTGACACATAGCACCGATGCTTCAGCTCTCCAATTCTCATAACGTGGGCACCGGTGCTTCATCAGTCTTTGGTGGACCCGTCGAAGCGGCCGCGGAGGCAGAGGCGAACGAGGAATAATATTTTTTAACGTTTGAAGCACCGGTGAACGAACATGCATCGGTGCTCACTTTTTTTTCATCTCAGCACCGGCTACAACGTGGGCATCGGTGCTCCAAATAGGAGAGAGAGTGTTTGGGCACCGGTAAAAAGCATCGCTGTGGCTAGTCTGCATGTGTCTCTTTGGCGTTTTCTCTTGACCTTATCACCCTTACCCTCTGTTTGAGTAGACTTTCTCCTTTCATGAACGAAGATGAGGCACGCCCTTCTGGCAAATTGGCAATCCACGCTGCCGCATTGTTCTGAAAACTGCTATTCTCGGTCTCATTCACTGTTCCTAGAGTTGGTGGAACATTGCGCTTAACTAGGATCCACAACGTTTCTGCCACGAAACCATGCAAAATCACTTACTATAGGTCTTATTTGGCTATACCTTAATTCACCCTATTCTATATGCATCGAAAGTTAATTTTCCACTTGAATTCACCTCGACCACTGTTCACCTAAACCGTCGTTTAGCCCATTTAAACACCGTGTAAACACTACACGGTGGTGTGATGTTTTCGTTTAATCATCGATAATGATATGATTAAGACGCCCGGACGGACGGACGCCTCCCACCGCTTTCACTCCCCGCACGTGCTTGCACCCTCCCCATTCTTATCCCTTCCACGCTGCGTGCCCTGCCACACGCCGACGACACGGCCATGGTCGCTTCCACGCCGGTGGCGGCACCTCACCCACCCGGTGCGTGCTCCCTCACCCCAGTGTCCTCCTCTTCCACCCCGGTGGCTCCTTCCTCCACCCCGACGCGTCCTTCTCCCCCCCCCTACTGCCCTTCCCCACCCCGACGGGCGCCTCCCCCCCCAAGGCGTCCCCTCACCCACACCGGGAGCGCCTAACGCCTCACGATCCGGGGCCTCTCCACCACCCAAAGTGAGATCCATGGAGTACGAAAGCGAGATCCATGGAGGTGGTGCCGCCAGATTGTAGGAGAGTGGGCAGCTTTGCCCCACCTCCGTGCCATGCAAGGCGCTCTCTCTCACCCTCAGATGCATATATTGCATATGTTGCAATGGTTTCAGAGGCATGTTGTAAGTGTATGTTTCGAGTGTTTCAGATGTGTTTTCCGGACGCATGTTGCAAGTGTGTTTATCTGGATGTTGCATCTGTTTCACATATACGTTGCATGTGTTTTATTTAGATGTTGCGTATGGTGCACTGGTTCTCAAAAAGTGTTTTTAGGTGTTCTTTTCAAGTGTTCTAGAAGCATGTTTGAAGTGTTTCAACTGTCTTCAGACCTATGTTACAACTGTTGTATTTGGATGTTTTAAAAGTAGATCGGGTGTTGCATCTCTCCTCCCCATCTTCTACTGCATCGTCTCTCCCGGCGCCGGCAGGGTATCCATACGACACTGCGGCTAGGTCCTTCTGAATCAGAGGCACCGCACACCCTTCCCCTCTTATCGCTCGGGAGGCGTGGGCCCCGGATGGAACTCGAAACGAAGTGTAGCGTCCGGGCGTTATCCCTACCGTTTAATCTTCCGTTTACCCCGTTTAATTGACCGTTTAGTGGACTGTTTAGCTCAAATAATAGCTAAACGGTAGGTGACCGACTGTTTACCGCTTAACGTTTAGGAAAACACTGCACTCAACACATGTGATTTAGAGTGGATTGAAGTGCAGTCAAACTGACCCTTACATAAACTCGTAGCATCGCTGAAACAAAAAAAAAATCAAGTATCATTTGCTGCCATTGCATGAGGGAAAAGAAAGGCTCGGTCGCCAAAGTGCGCTGCGCAGGGCACTTTCTTGGCTTGCGACTGCACCATTGAAACATTCAGCAGCAACACCAGCTAGCTAGCTAGTTCTGTATTGGCAACTAACACATGCATGCTGTGTACCGTCCAGTTTTTGGGTGAGGAGCCGAGGACAAGTTGTCATCGTTAACAGCGAGGATGAGCCGCTCGCCTACTCCGATCACCCTTGGATTTCGACGCGCATGAGCTGTCCCGGCCCCCGGGATAATCTTTCAGCGGAAGGGCGCCGGCTCGCCCGGTGCTGCGGTCAACTTTCTTGGTGTCCAGGGGATCTGGATCAGTATCAACAAACTGACAGTGAATCAGTGACGCACTAAGAATTGAAGTTTGGAAATGGTACGGTAGGTCCAGTTCGCTTCATTATTGGTGGATTGCTTGGAGAATCTTATATGAAGCAGATATGCCTATGGTTCTGTATATAATAATATATGATGTTTTGCAGGGCAGGGGCAAGGCTCCGTGGACCGTGGTGCCCCCAAGGCAGACACAAGGATAAACAAGACGAGTGAGGCTTTCTATGTTGGAATGGCCTTTCGGTGTCCAACAGAGGTTTCAGGCCTGGTTTTGCTTCACATTTCACAGTATATATATCCTTTGACCAGAACTTATCAGCCTGACTAATCAGCCATTAAACAGTACTTTTTAGTCTAATTTTCAGCGAAACGAACATAGCTTATCAGGATAGCAAAGACCTGGCGACTGCTTAGCTTGTTCGTCGCTCGCTTCCCCGCAATGTTTTTATCTCCTCAAGTTGGCAGAGAGAGAGCATAGACTCTCGCGTACGTGCACATATACTCCTATCGTTATGGACTGAGCCTATGAATATAAGATTTATAAATAGTCAGTGGAAGATGGACGAAGGAAAATGAAGGGCCAACTCCGAGCAAGTACAGCAATGGGTTTATAGCCAAGCTAGTCAACATTTTTGCTGATACGGAGAAGAGAAGAGAGAAGAGAGAAGATAGAAGAGAGCTTGACTCTTATTTTAGCACCAAGCTGGGAACGGAAGCGTAGATATCTATGGGGCCAAACAATAGTTAGCCTGTTCGTTTGGCTGTGGCTTGTCGTAAACGATTGTAAATTTTCAGCTGGAACGGTATTTTTCTCTCACACAAACCAGTCAGTAGTACTTCTTCACGAACCAGCAACGATACGAACCAGCCACCGAACAGGCTGAGTGTATGTGAGGAGGAGTATGAAAGAGAAAATAAGATATGGTACCAGATAATAATAAACAGTCTTTTTATAGATAAATAGGAGACAACTATTGTATAACTTGGCTCTTATAATTTGATTTATAGCCAAGTACTTGGCTCTATTATTGACCTAGCTCTAAGAGCACTTCCATCACAGTTGACTACTAGCATGAGCAAGGAATAAGAATAAACAAATAAAGAAATTAGGGGTTCCTCTATTGGCGGTGACGAGTGAGGCCGCATAGACAACCAGTAAGAGTATCCTAAATTTTCCTCTCAAAGAGCCCATATTTTTTAACTCCTAAAAATATATTGGGAGAAAAAAAAGAAAGCCATCTCTAATAGTTTCCAATAATTCACTCCTAAAATACAGAAGACAATTTTGCATCATGAATTCTATACTATTTCTAAATTATTTTAACCAATTATATATATCTTTTCTCTCTTGTATATTTGCATTTGGAACCCTTTCGCATTATTTATTCTTTTTCCGCCCTTCCGCCTTTAATTGGCCGATGAATACACGGTATCCGCGCGACCGTGACTCCGCGTAAAGGTGCGCGCGACGGGGGAGGATATCCCAAGTGCGTAAATTTTAGGAGAAAGGATTATGAGTTGTTGGATATGGATTTTTCTTATCTTACTAAAAATCAAGGATTAAAAAGAAAAATATGATATTCTTGATATGCTCCTACCCAAACATTTTTGACCCTTGCGATTGCGAGCTCCTACCACCGGGATTCTAAACCCGTATTTTTTTTTTGCCGTTATAACAGGAGCAACACAAATTTTCACGAGATGTTTGGTATTGTCCGGAAATCCTCATCAAGCTAAAGTAAGATATGAAGGGTTCGTATCCATATATATGTTGCTAGATATCGTCAAGCTTTGTTTCTAATAAGAAAAACTAAATATGCAATCCAGATTGCCCAAAGCAATAGTTGAGCACCGGAAAATATACATTATATGAGTCTGTGCTCATAAAAATTTTCGGAGAGACAACGAATCATTGGCTCCTGTCATGTGTATTCATTTGGGATTTTTTTTTGAGAACTTCATTTGGGAATTTTGGTTTGAATTATTGAAAAAAGTCGATCACCAATCTCTCACCCCACCAGCTAGTGGGAGAGAATTTTAAGTCACGTTTGGTTGGAGCATGCAAAAAGCTGCCTGGAACATACATACATCCCAGGTATCTGATTTTGAACGTCTGAGACCGGAATGTGTTGCCCTGCAAGGCCTCTAACCAAACAGGCCCTAGAACCTCTTTAGTTTCTAGCTAGGCAAGCTTGCTTGGCCCAGGCACCTATCATGCACATGTGGATACCTGGGCTGGGATCGATAATAAAACTCCATTGAAACGGAGAAAACAGGTCGCTAAGTTGACAAAAAAATAGTCAACCCAACCTAAAAAGCACTCAATTTATATATATGACTAAAACCATAGTATTCACGTCACAGATAGCACCCGGATGTCCGGACGA